CTTCCACACCTAACATCACCATAATTGTACTTCCCTCCATATCCATAGCATGCCACAAGTTGCTTCTTGAATCCTACACATTCATCAAACCAACTTTACCTCACACCCATAGATCCTTTTGCTTGTGCATATAAAAATGTGACCATTAATTGTATTTATCTTACTGTGTTTCTTTGCATTATTGATCAAACAATACTTGACAGAGTAGACATCTACATAGGTATTGCAACTAAAGGAAGATCCTTTCAAAGCTAAGCTATGGTTTCCTTGATCAACTTGTGACTAAAACTACTACCTCATCCTTGTGATTACCTATGACATCTCGATAGGCAGTTGAGCTAGCCATTAGTGGCAATAGCAAAAGTTTCATTAACATTGAATTTCAAACATCACCCTCCTACACACTCCTTTTTTACCACCTTCAGACCTCCTATATATAGATTCATTTTAGATCATAGTGCTATAACTTGGACCTCCTATGTGTTGATTATAGTTATTGCAAATTGAAAAATAAATCAATAAAATTTAATTGCTAGGATATTTGCATTAAATTTGCAAAATAAAATTTGAATCAACATCCAATCTTATTAAAACTTAATTAAAAATATTGATGTGATTTAAAATCAATTAATGCATGTGTTATGGCGGGTTGATTATTTTTGGAAATCTTTCAAATTGAAGGAGAAATTGTTAAAAAGATATTCAAGGAGTAATCAATGGAGGAGAAATTAATGGGATGATTGAAGCTTATATTTTGAAAGATATAATCATATATTATTGGAAAAATAATAGTGAGCTTATATCCACATGTCATCACGAGAGGAAAATGGGGAGCTAATATGGCTTCGTAATATGCGAGCACATGTGCTTTGGAATCTTGATTATATATATATATATATATATATATAAATGTCTTATAAATTGAAATGAAAATAGTATAATACTTCCTCTGGTTCCTATTATATGGTGCATTTTAGAAAGATTTTCGTCATTAATATAAAGTACTTGATGAAATATTGATATACATTTTTCAATATTACCTATATTTAAATTTATTATTAGAAATGATACAATGCAGATTTGAAAATTTTTATTTAAATATGAATAAAATTAAAAGTTTATTCTATTTTTAAATAAAGTTAATTATTTAACCATATCTCCTCAATTCTGATAAGATAAATATGCATTTTAATATAGATAAGAGAGAATAATTAATTTTTAGAAAATTGGCCCTTAAACTTTGGAGGTTGGTTCTACTACTGCCAGCATAGCCGCTGAACTTATAAATATCTTAAAGGGTCGTAAGCTTTATTGGAATGCTAACTTATATAAAGTTAATGTCCACTCTGATTCCATGGAAGTTTTATCCTTTGTCAATCATAACCACTCTAAAAGACATCCTCTCTCTAAATATATCAAGAAATTAGAGATCTTAACCTAGAGGACTACAAAATCACCTTTGACCACGTTTATAGATAAACGAATAGATGTGCTGACTTGCAAGCCCATTAGGCATCTTGAGATAGCTTCGATGTTATAGTTTTAGATAACCTACCACTTGATTGCATCAACCTTATAATTTTAAATTTAACTTGATTTTGTATCCTTGTATGGTATTTTGTGGCCTTATATTCAAATAACAACAACAACAACAACAACAATAATAATAATAATAGTTAATTATAAAAGTACGACACCAGCTTGGGTTGTGTTGTATGGTGACATATAGAGGTGAAAATAGGCTAGACTGAGCTACGCTTTGATCAAATAGGCCCGAGCCTATGTGGTAAATTAGAGGTTTGAACTTAGCTTGAAATTTGTATAAGGCTTTTTTAATTGCTCAGGCTTGAGCCTATGTAAAGCCTGGCATAGCCTGAAAGCTTACTTAAAAGTAAAATCTTTTAAATAAGCTCACGTTTTAATTTTAAACATCTCAAATATACTTTAAAACTATTATAATATACAATATATAACTTGATTTATCAATTATATTATATAAAAATTGAAAGGACTTACCAACTATAATATAATATAACAATAAAATGTCAACATTAAAATTAATATATAAGTTCAATATGATTGAAAATATAATTAGAAGTAATAAAGAATAAATTGATAAAAAAAATCATATGATAAAACTGATGTATTTGTAATATAGTACATTATATATATATATATATATATATAAATCAACCTGTTGGGCAAGTAAGCTAGGCCTTAAAAAGATATGCCTAACTTATTTAATTAAATAAGCTTAATTAAATATATGAACTTGGCCTAAGTCTATTTAATAAATAGGTTAAGTTAGGTGTGAAGTAGGCTAGGTTGTTATCGGTGTTTAGCTTGTACCCATTCCAATTGGCCTAGTATCATTTCGATCATATCAGGACGAGTCTTGTCTCGGCCCAAAAACAATCAGGATGAGATTTTGCAGGATGACACAAGAAAAGAATTCAAGACGGGACGGGACACGAGATTATCATCGGAACATCCTATCTCATCCCGAATATTATATGTATTATTTTTTATTTTAAAAATATATACTAAATATATTAATTATATTAATATAATTTATACTTATATTAATTACATCAATTATAATTTCAATACTTGCAATTTTTATATAAAATTAAAGTTTTGATATTGATAATTTTAATGACATAAAGTAGACAGGGCGATATATTTCTTCATAATATATTAATTATATTAATATAATTTATTCTTATATCAATCTATGTAATAACTTTTATTTATATCATATTTTTTATTTTATTTTTAGAAGAGTAATTACATTAGCACATCTCAACTAAAGTAAAAAAATAATGATTTGATATTGTGTTTGGCTTACTTGTTGTTACTCTTATAACCTAGAGATTACTTGTAATTGCTATCATAATGTAATTGTGATTAATGCGATTCAAGAATTGACTTTAAATTATTTTGATTCATGTACTTGTATTATTTTAATTTTAAACTTAATAAATTATATAATTTAAAATTTTAATGAATATTATTATTCAGATCTTTTTCCAGCATTGCCCGATTTATCAGGGCAACAGGATGTCTCGATCCCATCCTGATCTTGTCTCGATTTCTAATAGAATGGGATGACTTTCGAGAAGGGATAGGACACATGATAAAAATTCAATCTTAATTTTTTTTTAGAATGAAATATAAGATAGAAGTGTCTCAGACTGATTTGATTTCGTCCTGTGAACATCACTAATTATCCTACATTAAAAGGGCATGACTTTTTCTCACATCTAATGACACGTTACTGGTCAAAAACAACATGACATCTGAAGCCAAACTACGCTCCGCCTTTGAATGCCATTCCCCCACTTGTCAAGTATACAATCCGAAACCAAATAACTCCAACCATATCACCACATCTTGAAAGCAATTTTTTTTTTTGAATTCAAGTTTCAAAGTATATATTTAAAAATAAAAAATAAAAAAAAGATTTCGCCTAAAAATTGCATACGGCCATACTGTCACGGATGATATCTTCGTGACCGTGTAAAGACCAAGATAATAAACGATCCGCTGATTAGCCTCGCACAATATGGGTAAAGGGGGCGACATTGACATTAGGTGCGTTCTGCCTTAGTCTTCGGGCTAAGTGCACAATTGGTCGGGGGCTAGTGTCGCTTCCCTGATGAGCCCATGGCAGGGCGAAACCAGTGTGATTCGTATGTGGTAAAGCTTGTCTCGAGGATTATGGAATCCTCGAAACACCGCACGAGTGCCGTGTGCTGTGCCAGACTCTCAGCCCGTGACAATACGCTTTAATTCGAATGTGTAATATTTCTTCTTCTTTCTCTGGTGAAAGGGTGTTTAATATTTCTAACATGTCACATGTTATATATATCATAATCAAACTCTAGAATCAATTAATATTAACATAATAAAAAAAATTATTATATTACTTAGATAATATAAATTATGTACTTTTAACAGTTGAAAAAACAATGCTAAGTGGACGTGTCACTGAGCATGACAGAGAGGGGGTTGTAATCATGAATTGCAGAATACTAATTAGCACGGCGAACATAAATTAATGTCCTTATAGTAATTAATTATATGCCTAATTGCCTCAGCCTTGGAAAATGTTATTTTTGCCTATTTCTCTAAACAAACTTTCACCGTAACGCCCTTATCAAACTTATTCATGGAGTCACTTCCAAAATTCCGAAAGATCAATTTAATTCTTGTAGATTTCATTTGGGCTAAATTAAATTTAAATTTTTTTAAAAAAATGACAAAAACAATCCCAATCTCCTCAAATAAAAGACAATTAAAATAGAGAAAATAAATAATTAATGTAAAAAAATGTACAACTTTCATTAACGGCATAACATCACTATAAATAAAAACAAGTGAAGTTAGGTGTATGAACAATTGATGTAAAAAAAAATGAATAAGTGCTGCACAAAAAATAAACAACTGAAATTATTGGGGTTATTTGTGTCATTTTTCTAAAAAATTTAATCTCAATTTTGCCCAAATGGGTCTCACAAGGAGTTGATTGTAAATAAGTTTGATGAAGGGCGTTAGTGTGAAAATTTTCCAATTCTCTGTGAGGCCGCCAAAAGTCGACACACACAATACATATTTTAATCACGCAAAGAATTTATCACTTTAATATTTGACCTGCCCACATGACTGAAGGATGAGGATGCGCTGTTGGTCTCTGAAGAAGGAACCATCCTCACGGTCACAGCTTTGTTTTAAAAAAGTAAAAGTTAATGATGATATATTTCATCATAATAATTGAAATTAGTAAGAGGAACTATTTATAATAATATTTGATCATTTTATTTTATTTTATAAAAAGACAATTATATAAAAGAAATAAAAGGAAATTACAAATTATAAATATTATTATAAAAAGAAAAAGAGGAAGAAGCTGCCAGGCCTAATATATAATATAATATACTTTAATGAGGCGATGAAGAAGACCATTGGAAGCGAGTTCAGGGAGGGTGCATTGGCCTGATTAGAAAAAGTGGGTGGCGAAGCCAAGTGGTATTTAAAACGGAATATTATTGTGGCCCAAAACGTGGACATCAGAATCTCTGGCTTCAATCATCAACATGTTCAACTTCGGCTTCAACCGATCAGTTTCCCTCACCGTCTTCTCCGCTTTCCTCTTTCTTTCTGCCACCTTCCTCCTCAACTGGCGCCTCGACCTGGTAACTCTCTCTCTCTCACGCTCATGGCTTAGTTTATGCTCTTGGATGTTGCGAGAATATATATATATATATATATCGAGAGTCAGCACTTTCGTTTCCGCGGCAGCGGAAACGCCGGCCTCCGAGTTATGAGGAATCACATAGCATGGGATTTCTTGGAATGATGAGTTATTCCCTGCTATCATCCAGCGCCTTGAGCTACATATGTAATCCTTCAGATTCTGTGGGTTGGCTTCCACATATCTAGGCCTTCATCGTCTTTGTTCAATCATTAGACTAAACTAAAGCCGATTGGAATGGAAGACGCCAGTGGCATCAACTTTCTGTCGTTATTAGGAACCGTTAGTCTAGGAGGGCATACAATTCCAAAGTCCAAACCCAACAGAGTAAGGCTATCATTAGATACGGTTAGGCCCCTTTTGTCGGCCCAACGGGTTCGATGCCCACCTTCTGTGGCCTATTTCTTATGCAAACATGAACTTAGGTCTTGCAGTCACATTTCTCTTCTTCTGAGCCCCATCGACTCCGCTATTCATTTTTTTCTTACTTCCTCTTCGATCTATACGACCCTGCACATCTTGATTCCACGCTCCTCGTCTTGTCCTCTAGGAGTTTTTTTTTTTTTTTTTTGGGAGCCAATTCTCAATCAGTTTATTCATTTGATTCTTTGTAAACATATATACAGTTAAATTTAACAGAAGCGACTAATTCCTTAATATAATGAATTAAAATCTGAATATTTGCTAAAAAATGTATCCACACTTAATATTTGATTATGGCTTGAAAATAATTGACTACAATAGATGAACCTCCCACCCACCCTCCCTCTGTTTGTTTGTTTTTTTGGTGGCTGGTCCCTCCCTCTGTTTGTATGTTTTTTTGGTGGCTGGTAAAGCCTTTATGCTTTTTTTTTTTTTTTTGAATGCCTATATTAATTGCCAAGCAATTTGTGGGATATCTTCATTGCCATTGGGTAATTATATCCAGGGGCGGAACTAGCAAGGGCATAGAGGGGGGCCGAATTTAATCTTATTATCTAAAAAAAATATAAGATAATAATTATTTTTAATTATGAATATTTAAAAAAATAAAAAATAAAATATATATTTCATATATTAATTTTAAAAAATAATGAATATATATAAATATATAAAGTGTATACATAAAATATACCTAAACAAACATTGATCAATATACATGCAATTTAAATAATGAAAAATAGACTTATTCAAACTTTTTTAATAATTTAGTAAAAACTAAAAAGCCTGAGAAACATGTTTAATGCAGATCTTAAGATTTAGTCTTTTTACATGAAGAACTGACGTCATAAATTAATAATACAAAGTATTTGTATTACCTAATAATATATATATATATATATATATATCTATTTAATGTTCTAACAAGATATTGCGTTTATGTGTTATAAAAAAAAAAGAAATGGTATTTATGTATCTATGCACGCATACGGATGCATATTTGTGGGGTGTGCGTTTTTTTTTTTTAAATATTGGAAGGGTTTTTTTTTTTTTGAAGGAGTGGGGCCGAAACCTCATTGGCCATGGCAATTAACCATGATATTTTTTAGGCTCTAACAAGTGGCCTCCCTTGAAGTACCCCTTGTTCCTCCCTTGGTTACATATCATAGTTAGCGGGTCCCAAGGTAGAGTGCACCCTACTAAGTGTCCGTTTGAATTTTAATTAAGTATAATAAATTATAAAAATAATTGATTAAATGATAGATTTTGATCATAATTGATTGTGGTATAATAAAATTTATTTAGATATTATTTTTTTAAAATTAATTTTAATGAAATTAAAGATATTTGAATAATTTATTTAGAATCAATTTTAATTATATAAATTATCATAAAAGATATTACTTTTTAAAATTAAATTATTGATAAATTTGTATCTAATATTATTAAATTTGTTTCTAAAATATTTTTATTTTTATTAAATTTTGTGTTTTTTTATAATTTTTTCTTCAGCTTTTATTTGTAATTTTCTTCAATGCCTTTGATCAGCTTTTCCCCCAGAAGCTCGCAGATACAACTTTCAGAAAAAATTGATTTTAACGCTAACAATCGATTAATGACAAAAGTGAAAAGGTCAATTATTTGCCTAACCAAACAGGCGCTAATTAATGCATTTTGAAGCTAAAATCTTAAATTATTTATGTAATGTCCAGCTTTTTAAATAAGTGCATCGTTTACTGAATTTACGAACACAGAACGTCGCCTTAGTTTACTCCTTTTTATACGATAGGGAACACATGTAGTATATATACTTGATTACAAGCATGCATTTGGCACGGATTTTTTGACAAAAAATTCATTTATAGTAAAATAATTAGAGTTAGGACATTTATTTTTTTTTTTCATATAGTTACTTACCTTACACGTGCACACATGACAATAATATAGTCTTCGATTCTTGTGTTTCAGTCTAAAATCACAAGCTTGTCTTTTCTCACGAACCAAAAGACCTCTCCGCGACTCAACTGTTTCAATGAAGATTTGTCGTCTCCGTCTCCGTCTCCGTCTCCGTCGCCATGGCCGTCCCCGTCCCCATCAGCATCACCATCTTTGTCTGAGTCCTTGACATGCCCCGAGTACTTCCGATGGATCCACGAGGACTTGAAGCCGTGGAAGAGGACAGGGATCACAAGGGACATGGTGGAATTAGGGAAGAGCCTGGCAGACTTTAGGCTGGTGATTCACAAGGGAAAAGCCTACGTGGAGACTTACAGAAGGTCGTTCCAAACAAGGGACGTGTTCACGTTATGGGGAATATCACAGCTCCTGAAGATGTACCCCGGCAAGGTTCCAGATCTGGAGCTCTTGTTTCACTGCGGGGATCTGAGTAAGGTCAATAAAAGAGACTATCTGGGATCACATCCGAGAATGCCAACACTGGTGCCACCTCCATTGTTTCATTATTGTGGGGATGACACAACCTTTGACATCGTGTTTCCCGACTGGAGCTTCTGGGGTTGGTAAAACTTCTGAATTTTTTGCCACTTTAAATTATATTGATGCAATCATGCATGTCGTACTGGGACAAAATATGAACGCATGCATTTGATGTGTAGGGGTGAGCTCAACATTAGACCGTGGGAGACACTGCTAAAGGATATAGAAGAAGGGAACCGGAAGATGAAATGGAAGGATAGGATACCTTACGCTTTTTGGAAGGGTAACCCTACTACGTCTCCTATAAGGAATAAACTCCTCAAGTGCAATGCTTCACATCAGCATGATGCGTATGCTCATATATATTCCCTGGTATAGCTTCAACCACTGTAGTCCAATTAATTACATGCATATCTATGAAGAAAGAGGATCCAATTCAAACCCAAGGCATTTTGTTTCTCCCGCAGAGTTGGGATAAGGAGATCCAACAAAATTTCAAGAATACAAAGCTAGAAAATCAATGCACTCACAGGTAAATTTTCCCCAAAGTTTTCCCCCTCCTCCTGAAACAAGCTTCAAGCCCTATTTATGATTAATTTGAGGTTTTATTTATTGCCATAAAGGTACAATATTTATGCGGAGGGAAGGACATGGTCGGTGAGTGAAAAGTACATACTAGCGTGTGACTCCATGACCATGTTCATAGAACCCAAGAACTATGATTTCTATACAAGAAGTTTGGTACCTATGCAACACTATTGGCCCATCAGGCCCAAAAAGATATGCAATGACATAAAGTTTGCAGTTGAATGGGGAAATTCCCACCATAATCAGGTCAATCTTCTTCTTCTCTCATCTTTCTAATTTTAGTTTTCATCTGGCAACAAGTTTTTACAACTTTAAAGACAAATCTACTTTCACGTTGCTTTGATCAAAACGTGGTTTTGACCAAGCCGTACGTTTTGATCAGGATCAACAAGTTTCCGATACAATAAACACTTCATAATACATCCACAACACATATGAAATGATGCATGATTATTATGATATGAATATAAAGTTTTCAACAAAAGAAAGAACTTGCAGGCACAAAAAATAGGGAGAGAAGGAACAAAATTCCTGCAAGAGCAAGTGAAAATGAAGTACGTGTATGACTACATGCTTCATGTTCTCAGAGAATACGCAAGTCTAATGAAATTCAAGCCAGTGATACCAGTAGGAGCTAGCGAGATTTGTTCAGAAGTGAATGATTGTCACATGGAAGGTGCGTGGAAGGAGTTTTTGAATGAGTCGAAGGTCGAGTCGCCGAGTTCAGAACCTCCTTGCGAATTGCCTTCTCCTTATGAAACTCGAGACCTCCAACAAATTCTAGGTAGAAAGAATGGTCTGATCCAGCAAGCTGGATCCAAGCGAAGACAAACTTGGCTGGACGTTTGTTTCAATTCTTAGACAAGATTCGTAGTTTTTAGGCTTTTTTTAATTTCACGACCGACTTTACATTCCTCGCACATAGTCGTCATAGGTGCCTTCATGTAATTATTCAAATTTATTTTTCAAAAGATGGAAAAAAAAAAAGAGCAGCTTTCATGTAAGCCAATAAATGAGAAAACTTTATATTGATCTTTTTCGGATGTAAACGCAAATAATTTTTTTTTCTCAATATAAGGAATAATTGATTGATTTTGCTTTGGTGATGCTCGCCGACATCTGACGCGTAATATTATTCTGGCCAAACATTAAACTCCAACAATGAAAGTGATTGTTGTCCAAACAAAGGAAATGAAGACAGGAAAAGATAGCATGGGCTAAAGTCTAAAGATGCACGCTGAAAGCGACTCCACAATCACACACTCATTTTCTTCTGCCCATCCATGATTGCCCGTATGTGGTGACACAGTCTTGTTATCATTGTTTTGCCATTTGTTGTTGATGATGATGCCCTTAATTACTCTAATTTTAATGATACATATATACATTTATCTTTTAAAAAAAAAATTACCTTAAACATCATCAACGCGCGTATATGGTTACTGATACTTTCTTAAAATTATGATTTATGCTTTTAATATTATGAAAATATTTAAATTTACTGTCGTTCTCGCACTCCTATTGAGCACAAAGAAGAAATGGGTCTTTCTTGTTCACAGAAATTTATAAGATCACTATCACACGCTGTTTAGAAATTATGAACAATATAATTATTTTTTAAAAAAATAACATAACTTATGTAAGAAGTATAACCTAAAAGAAGAAGGACGAGATTCCTATTTCTTTCCTGAGACAACAGGATAAGTTGATATGAAAAAGGTGTATTTCTGGCTCTTATAATTCAAGATCAAGCTACAAGTCTCTCGCTTCTAATTTGGGTGCAGTAGATATTTTGATAACTTTCTTTGGTCCTTTTCACAAGGAAGTAAATAAAAGGAATTGACGCAAATAACAGTTATTTTCATTTCAGTTAAATTATTAAAGAGTAGAGTTTTTATTAAATTAAAAATTATGAATAAAATAAAATAAAAATCAAAGAATAAATTCACTATAAGATTAACAATTAAAGAGCATTCTAGGAATTATAATCTCCTTTTATGCTTTGCAATTCAATTTCTTCTAGTGATAACTTTTTAATTTACCTTTAAAATTAACGATCTAAATTAAATTTGTATTCATTAATTACAAAACCCATGATATAACTACATTATGATGTCTCAAGTAAGTTATAATCCAATTATATACAAATCTTGAAAGATTAGCTAGGATTCTTGAGTATATTTCTATCTCAATAATAAATTAGATTGAATCAAATCCTAAGTTGCTTAATACATGATCTATTGGAGATTCCTTTTTGTGGAAGGTGAAAACTAAGATCTAAACACACATTGAAGACAATACAAAGAATTAAAGTCAAAGAGTAGAAGAAGAGAATTCAAAAAAATCCCCTAATGGTTGATGGTCCAGAATTGCCTTCTCAGTTTTAGATATAAACTTTCATTTTTTTAGAAGTCTCTCAGGGTTTTATTTATAACTTATTTGCACCCTTTGGCCTCTAATTTTCATCTTATCTCATATGATTTTATAAGATATTGTTTAATTTCACACTTGAATCCAAAAATAAGAGTCTACCATGTGTTTTTCCTTACGTATGCACGCGGTTGTGCTTTTCTTCTCCATGCCCGCGCACGAACAAATAATGAAGGAGTCTTTTCTGCGACCTCCTTCGCACATGGTCGAGTGTTGAGGTTTAGGAAGTTCGTGCACGGAGGAATTTTCCTTATGTAGTCTTGGTGCACAGATGAGCTTCTTGGCAATGATCTTCCCCATGTTGGCTGCATCCGTGGACGGAGAAATTCTCTTCTTTACTTATTTGCAAGTGAACAACTCTTTTTGGGCCTATTTCTTAAGTTTTGAGTTGATACTTCGCATTTTTAGCTTTTTAAATGTCATTTTCACTTCTTTTAGAAAACTTTAAAAATTACTGAGTGGGGTGTTTTATCCAAATTTATATTAATTTATACATTAATTAGCAAATGAAAGAGTAGAAAACATATATTAATTTAAGTAAAATATACACTTATTAGAAGTTTAAACTTCCTTCAAAGCATCTTGTCTTTCTTTGGAAGCTTCTTCATGAAACAATTCCTACTAACGACATTCTTCAAAAGCATCATTTGCATTCTAATAACAAGTGTCTCTTTGGATGCCAGGTTGAGGAAACAATTCCTCACCTTTTTTTTTTCAATGCCTTATTTTAGGGGCGCTTTTGTTTGGTAGTTTGTCCTTGAATTATGATTTCTTAGATTGTTTAAGATATATGCAATCTTTGAAGGATTTCATTAAACATCTTATTGTAATTCACAGTATTTGAAAAATTGAAAACTCTATCATTCATGATGGTCACAAGCTAGATCTTTGTAAAGCTATTCAAAATTGTCACCATTCGTACTACTTTCTAATGCACATATGTACTTGGGATGAAATTGATCTACATGCTTCTGGAATTAGTGCTTCCAATAGCTCATCAGGATTGTGGCATTTGGTTGTGACTGTTACTAGAAGAAGTTTTCCATATTTCCAAGGAAACGGGTGGAGCTTCATCTATACTAAAGAAAAACAGAGGTTATTCACTGAGATTAAAATATTAGGACTTCAGGATAGATAAAAAATTGTCATGCTCACCTGATCTAAATGCAGATCTACAAATTTGAGCGACATTGAAATTATTTTGCCTGCATTCAACCTGACTTTGGACCTCGACAATGACTCCTACTTCTGGGGAGCTTCAATCTCAAGTCCTCTATTTCCTTTGCCAGCCGAACTTTTGTTTTGGTAAATCTTTAGCTGGAGGTTCTGGTTCTATGATTGTTGATGATATTTGCTCTCTTCTCAACAACTTCATTGCGGTCTTTGTTGGGAGTTTGCATTCAAAACCTGTTCAAGCATACAATGTGCGCATCCCTTGTTTTAGTTTCCAACTTATTGTTTTTATTTTTTTTCTTTTTTTAAATTTCAAGTGTATTTGGAACTAATTATCTTCTTACATACTCCCTCCATCTCTATATATAAGATATTTTTAATTGAATCACGCAAACTAATAAAAGTTGATTATCTAATTAAAAGCACAGCATCATTTCAATTTTTCCCTAATTATTGTAAATAAAAAATAAATTAATGAGAGCACTTATTTTTTCTCTTTTCAATTTAATAAGGGTATAATGATTCATTTATTAACAATATGATAATAACTTTTATATTTAGAGATAAAAAAAGTTTTAAAATTTTTTTTATATATAAGGATGGAGAGAGTATAATTTTTTTTAAAAAAAGGTGTATGCATTCTAGTGCTTAAATTGAAAAAACAAACAGGCAACAAGTACTATTGGGGGCACAAAAAAAAAAAAAGACGGTTGGCAGGGGAGATTGAATATTCTAATGGACGAGGATAATATTCTATGCCACATGTGGTCACAAGAATATGAATCTCTACAATTTCTGGAGGAAAAAAAAAAGGACAAATAACAAATGTTTGTGAAATTCGTCTGGTATATCATCTAGGTATAATGGTATATTATTCAAAATTTGAAGATGGAAGCCAATGGAATGTAAACTCGTTTTTCTTATGGAGAATGACGGTGCTGTAAAAAAAAACATAAAATAAAGACATTTGAGTTATAAATTTTTAAAATTTCGGTTATAAATTCTTGACGTTTAAATTATAAAAAGCCTTTACTATTTTTGAATGATCCTTATTTATCATTTTTTGTATTTCTTGTTCTGCTCGCACTCCCATGCACACTTGTCACACATAATCACCATCTAGTGTGTTTTTTTATTTTACATTATATTCTCATGGTTTTCTTTTTAACCGAAATTCTCATGGTCGAATTGAATGATCTTTGCTCTGTTGTGTTGAGTAAGTTTAATTAATTAATTATTATAAATTAGTGTTAAAGAATGACCAGAGCAATTAGGATTTGATGAAAGGCTGTGAATCAAGTGCAAGCCGCCGTAAGCAAAATGTCACTTGAATCTCACAGCCACATGCAGAGTTGGATGTGCATCTCCACTCTCTCTCTCTCTCTCTCTCTCTCTCTCTCCCCCCTCCTCCCCCCCCTTGCTTTCTTGGCTACCATCTTAATTCTACAATTCATCTTTTTTTTATTCATAACTCATGGCCATGGTACAATTCTATGGCTTATCTCTCGAGTCAAGGATTTCTAGCATTCATATTAGTAAGACTAGTTTATAAGTAAAGAATATACCTCGTTTCTTCGTGGGCAAAAAAAATTGTTAGTGTTGATAATGGTAGGTATTAATATTAATTAGTTAGTTAATAATACCAGTACTAATAATTAAAAGGGAAAATGATAATTAAGGACCCCTAAAGTCATTAATTACAATTAGGGATGTTAAATTATTAAAATTTTAAAACCTCATTAATAAACTATGATCCTTTACTTGGAAATTGGAATTAAAAACATGTATGAGTTTACAAAATTGCCTTCCACTTGGAAAATAAAGAAATAAAACTACCGAAATTGTTATCATGAAATGGAAATATTATTAATCTTAATTAGAAAACTAAGGATCTATAATGGAAAATTTATTGTTTTTTATATAAAACTAAAATTCACCTTTAAAACTTTTCAATGACACTTGTGAATACATAAGAGTTGCTTAAAAATTTACTAATGTTATGTTTAGATGCATGTAGATTTGGATTTGATTCAAATCTATTATTTGAGTAATTAAAACATGTGGATTAACCCAAATTCAAATTCAAATCTTAACTTAATTCATTCGCAGTTTTAAATCCTTTATAAACCCCTTTATTTCAAGTTTTCATGAAAGTTCTCTCTTTCTTTGTGTTCATTTGTTGATTTCCTTACCTTCTTGACTTCCACATCGTTGCCTCCAACGAAGTTCCATCAAGATAAGACTACCAATGTCAATTGGGACTGAACTGATAGTGTCAACAGGGACTGAATCGAAGGTGACAAACAGGATAGGAATGTTAGCACCAACTAGGACCAAATTGCCAATATCGATTGGGACTTGATAGCAGATGTTAATAGGGACCAAACTACTGATGTCGATTGGGATTAGATAGTTGACTTTGACTAAGACTAG